CTCAGACATTACAAAGACAGACTACATACATGTCACAGTGTGTGAGTTACCAGTTTTTGTGAGTGTGGGTGGGCTGGTGGAGCAGTCTATAATCAGGGCAGACTGTGCGTCCTCTGAGATGGCCTTGCACAGAGAAGCGGTCGTGGTGTCTTGCTGGGAAAGTCCCTGCAAACTGGCTGCTTTGATGAACCTGAGAACATAAAGTGGATGTTTTTTCTTCTTCACACTGAACTGCTGAACATGAACAACAAGAAGAAAGACAGACCTGATACATGAGGATCAGCATGGACTTCGCCACCTCACTCACCTGGAAACGTCAGCCTTCGTCCTCTCATCTGAATTGATGACCTCGACATGTGTGTGACTCAGAGCCTGTGCACACAAGGTTTTAGAGGTTGAAATGAATTAAGCTGGAAACAAACAGACAGCTAAACCATGATTTCAAAACCAGTTCACCCAGAACCAAAGTAACACTCATCTTCCTCCTTGGTGTAATTATGTCAAAATGAACTGAGGTTTCAAGCACCTCGTTGAATCTAAGCAATGACCCTAACAACTACATTTCAAACAGTACTGATGAACAGGTGCTCATACAACAAGTGGCCCAATAAAGAATTTATTCTTCTATGAAGGCCAAAGGGGGTCCAACCTGCTACTACTGAGGTGTACTGAATAGAGTGGTCAGTGAGTATATGTAGTTCCAATACTTTTCAGGATAAAGACTGATCACAGACAGTGAATGTGTGGAAACCCTGGCAAGTCTCACTGTAGTTATGGAAACCTGTGCTTAATTCAATTTGTTTTTTTTTAGCACCCCACACATTTTATATAAATCTATTAATTCAGTAAAAAAATAAAATTGTCTTGAGGATCAAGTGAGGGGTGATTTGATGATAGAAATGATGTAATATTCTTGAAATGAGAGCAAACCAAACCACCTGTGACCGAGGTTTGTTTCTAGAAACACTTTTTGGTAAGTGTTATGTAATGTCTTCCTCACCAGGGTTATGTTACAAGCTTCTGATATTATTCCAACACTTGTCTCATGGAGTATTGTACCTATTAAACAAAATTCCTCTCTAGAGCAACTTGCAGTGTTATTCTTGAGTCCTCCATTCTTATCTTAATTATTTATTCTCTTGTATCAGATGAGTGTTTGCTTTGTGAGCACTTATCTTTACTGGACATACTTCAATAAGTAAACAGTGTAGTGGTGAGAAATGACTCACAGCGTGGAGCAGGAAGCTGATGTTGCTCTGGACCAGCTGCACCACTCGATGAATGTGCATCACAGACTCCTCGTACCACTGACTCAGATAGGGGCGCACCTCCGTCTCAAGGTTCTGCAGCTAAACACAAACAAAGTGGGACACGTCAGTCTTGCACGGATAATACTATAACATATTATTGGTACACAGTTACACTGTTATTGCACTGTCATACCTCTGGGGTTTGCAGGCTGCTGTGCAGGCCTTGGACGTACTTATCGAGCTCTAATCTGAATGTGTATGCAGTCAAGGAATTTGAACTGTAACACGGACGCACCACAACAATGCAGTGAAACACATTCCGTAGCAGCAAGGAGGATCACGTATAATAGTCCTGGAAAGCAATTTACTTAGAACTTTGGCTTATTTTATACAAAAGGATATAAATTCAGTCCTTTTTCAGACCCTCCCATAAAGCAGATGACATATCCATTTCCATCGGAATCCGGCTGTTCGGGAGACCGTTCCTGCTCCAGGAGGCAGCAGTAGCAGCCGACGGCCTGCTCTGGAATACTGTCGAGTAAAAATTCAGAATGGTTGTGTTAATAAACGTATACATTTCCACTGCTGAGACATATTTCCAGTTAAACTTTAGCTTTTCAATAGTGTGGTTAAATGAAACGGGCTATATTCACTATGATATAAATACATAATATGCTTCCACATCATGACCTGCACAAGTCTAACAAACGAGATGAGGTTCAAAACATGTGCTCAAATATCCAGCTGAAGTTAAGCCAGAAGCTTGTGGACTCTGTGTGGATTAGAGAAAATCTTAAATAAATTGAAGCTTGTGCACCCAGTTCTTGTTTTATTTTTAAAGTTCTTAAAGATGTACCTGTACAATCATTCCACACCGGAAGAAGAACAGTTCAAAGAAAGCATATTGAGTGTGTGTAAGCTTACCACTGCTGTATGTAAAATTATTACCTGAGTTCCACAGTGGCAATGTTGCCCATGCCTCCAAGCAGGGCTCCTTTGCTCAGCCTCCTTGAAATGTAGGTCCGCAGCTCTGGCTCTGCCTCTGATGGCAAGCTGCTGTCAATTAGTGTGAGGCTGTGGGCAAAGCAGAGAGTCAGTGTGGATAAAAACAGCCAGTGCAGGGATGAGAAGTTTGTGGAAGCCACTGAAGTCAATGGAGAGGAGATGGAGAAAGCTGATGACCATATGCAGCACAAAACACACAACTGAGTCACATAGTTGTTAAACTTTTCCAAACACTACAAAGACATTCAAAGTTATTTTTTATTAGTTTTTTTTGTTTACCAACAGTAGTTGATGCATAAAAGTGGAGCCACTGTTTAGATCAGGAGGCACCTTAAGGCCACGTAACTCAGAAGCAGAGTGATGACCAGTCGGAACAAAAACCATGAATGAAAACAGCACTGAATCCATGTTAATCGGATTGCCGGTGGCAGCTCGTGGAAACACTGATGCACAACAAAGAAAGCCAGAGAGAAACCAGGCAAAGCAAGTGGAAGGTAGGCGCTGGCTCCTTCGTTACCTAAAGTCTTCCTGACTGGTTGTGGAGTCTGCTCGTCTCTGGTTCCATGCCACATTTTCCCCAGAAGCCTCAGATCTAAGACAATCGACAGTTTACTCATCACCTGGTTAGAGTTTAATGTATAAAGTGGGCTTTACCCGCATAATAGCATGAGAAGGGACAAATACAGCTAAATAAAACCATAAACTACACAGAGATATCTTTCCTGGCTGTGTTCAGAAATAAAAGGAGGATAAGGGTTATCCACAGTAATAATCCTAAGATTTTAAACATGCTCCTAAATTCGAGTTATCGATGCAAGAAGCAGAACCATAGGTATCATATGGTTGCAGCAAAGCTCTGCGAAGAAGAAACCTAGCAGATAAATAGCCACGGTTACCTTGTGCCTTGATAAAGATAGATGGTGTAGTAGCAGTTCAGCTGAATCTTCTGGCTGTATCCAGCTATTTCTTCGCTGTCAAAGTCATCTCTCTCCTCCACGTCGATTGAATCTTGGAAGGACGAGGTTTGGGAGGCAAACATGCTGCACGGAGAAAGCTAGCAGCGGCTACAGTGGAAGACAACAAGGACAAACTTTATTGTTTAGCTGAGCTGCTTTAATATGAAAAAAAGGACTGTAAACGTTGCAAGCCCTGACTGATATTAAACTGAAAGCCAACAAACAACGGCTTCGTTTATAGTCCTACTGCGCATGTCCTCTTTGTACGTTTCAAAATACGTCCGACTTCAAAGTGGTTTGCTGGAAGTTCCTGGGTCCGACCAGGTAAATAAAAGCAGAGGGTAACATCCTATAACGAAAGAGCTTAAAACCCATTAAATCTTGCAACGTTTTTTAATATCTTTATTTAATGCCAATGTAACTCTGGCGTCTTTTTTTAAATATATCTTGTTTGTGTTTCTGTTATGATCGGCTTATTTTGCATACTGTGATTCATATAGCTCAATCTTGTAGTTTTGAATTTACTTCATTTTTTAAAATCTGTGTCGTAAATTAATAATAACAGGCTAATAATTAATAATTTGACATCTAGAAATTGATAATTAGGAATTAATATTGTATCCTTAAACTAATTTGTAAATATATTATGCATAATACCTGCACATGTTTATAGTGTATTCTTATTAATTAGTACACCTGTTCACCGGCTTAATACAAATATCTAACCAGCCTATCACGTGGCAGCACATGTGGATGTGGTCAGGTCGACCTGCTGAAGTTCAAACCGAGCATCAGAATGAGGAAAAAATGTGATTGAAGTGACTTTGAACATGTTGGTCTGAGTATTTCAGAAACTGTTGGTCTACACAGCTATCTCTAGAGTTTACGATTCCATAAGAAGGCTGCTGATAATTTAAATAACAGATATAAATAAATAAATAAATAAAAATCACATGTATATGAACCTACAGATATGTTTAAGGTAACCAGGTATCGTCAAATACTTTAATAATCTTTAATAATAGTTATTTTGTCCTAACAGGTTTTAAGGTGAGTGTTTGTTTAAATCACAGAGGTGGCCGCAGTGTGTTATGGGATGTTGGAGAGCTGACGCCATCGCTGTGAGGTGTTTTTATTTTTAGCAGGCAGTGAACTGACAACGCTAAAATCATGGGCAGGAAGAAGAAAAAGCAGATGAAGCCTTGGTGTTGGTATCCTTTAGCACACCTTACATTATACTGTTATATTACGCCAGTCGGCACCCGTTTCTATGTCTTGCCAGCTAACGGTTGTGTGAATTAGCAGCTCTTAAGCAACACTTAGCTAACATGACAGTTATTTGTTTACTTGGCATGTGGCTGTTCAGCTTATTTTTAGCGATACTAAATAAAATACATATTAAAAAATATCTGTAGTAACTAAACGATATTTTCACCTGGAAGTGCAGCGAGTTTATCATCCAAAGTTTCCTCAGCCGTTATCTCAGGTACTGTAACAGAGATTTCGATGATGAAAAGATTCTCATCCAGCATCAGAAAGCCAAACACTTCAAGTGCCACATCTGTCATAAGAAGCTGTACACCGGCCCCGGGCTCGCCATCCACTGTATGCAGGTGAGGAAACGATAATAATGCAAGTGAAGTGAAGCTAAATCGTGTCTTCGTGCAGTGAAGTTACCACGCTGTACCACTTCACATGTGTAGGTACATAAAGAGACCATTGATGGAGTTCCTAATGCAATACCTGGAAGAATAGATATTGAACTGGAGATATACGGCATGGAGGGTATTCCAGAGAAAGACATGGAGGAGAGGAGAAGGATGTTAGAGCAGAAGAACCAAGGTATTAACACCACGATAATCTCAGGATCCATCTCTTTAAGCTACATGTCTGACTCTGCTCATCCTGATTTTCAGAGACTCAGAAGAAGAAGCAGAACCAGGATGACTCTGATGAATATGATGATGACGATGAGCCCGGTCCCTCCTTTCAGCAGCCTGCTGCACGTCAGCCACAAGCTGGCTATGTCCCCCCTATGACCCAGCCTGGTATGCTTCCTGTTGGATCTGGGACCCCAGCATTACCACCAGGCAGCTACTCAGGTGGGGAACAGATACTTAACTTGATCTGCTGTGTTCAAGACTGTTGTAACACTGTAATGGAGTCCTACTTCCTTTTTCATGTCTTAGTTTGAGATGCAAGGAAGGACATCTATCCTTTGTAGCCTCAGCGTAATTTATGTGTAGCATTTGACAGAGATGTATTTTATTATTTTAGCTATAACAGTGTTCATAAATGTTACTTTAGTTACTGTGCCACAAGATAGACCTGTTTTTGTCACAAAAATAGTGAAAGGAAGAAAGTGTGGTCATGCTAAAAAAAAAAAGAGTCCTCCTTGCACTGTGGTTTGTGTATTCCAGCTGTGTGCCTCGCCTCTTTTACGCACGCTTTATAGGTTTAAGCTTCTGGGAAGCCTCGTCTCCGCTTTCTTCTGAAAGCATTTTAGGAACTGAAAAATCCTTGAAACATCCGTCACAGTGTGTGTATAAGGCACGAATTAGAGAAATGAGAAAGGCCTCTGGTGTTTGAATGACTCAGTGGTGACCCCATGTGGCTGTTCAACGTAGTATTTATGCTTTTTTTTGTTTTGTTTTTTCGCCTTGGTGCAAAATTATCTAATTGCTGGTTCCCAAATACTGAGTCTCATTCCTGTTGTTTTGTAAGTTTACATAAAGTATCAAACATCAAAGATGCTGACTACATTATGTGTGCAACACGTAGCTTGTAGCCAAAACGTGTAAACCACATGGTGTACGTTACATAGACACACATCCCTTTGAGGGTACTGACAAAGGGATTCCTCGGGTCAGAGTCGTAACTATTGTGAGCTAAACCGGTACTCTCTTACATGAATTTGAATGACCTCCTGTGTCTCATCTGAAGTAACTATTTGATCCACAACGGGGCGTAATATATTGTATTTATCAATGAAAACTCTACTTGCATTATAGACCACATACAGCACACTTTGATCATAAGTGGGGTAGATCAGTGAAACTCCCCTTTCTGTCAGTATAAAGAAGTTAAACTGCAAACAGAATCCATCAGATTATTAACATTTGAAAAAGCATTGAAATTTTAACAGCATGTCTCATTTATTTTTGCATGATAAAGTGACGTTCCTGTAGTGAATTAAGGAATCTTTCAGCAGACACTTTGGACTTAAACTGTAATAACTAAATGTGACAGAATATGTGTTTGTTTATTCTCCCTCTTTTTTCCCCCTTTTTATTTATTTATTTTTTTACTGTGAGCACGCTGTAAAAAACTGAAATTTCTAGACAGTGAAAATTTTTTTGACTTTTTAAAATCTCCTTCACATTTTCTAAAGCTAACCAATAGACAGGACCTAGAGTCTTTGGCCACAATTCTGGCCACTGGGACTTATTCCCCCGGTGCACATAATGAAGTGGCAGGATCGTGTGTTTTGATATAAGTACAATTTTTTTACTTGCTTCAGGAATTCCCCCGATGATGCCAGGTGTGCCACCCATGATTCCAGCAACGCCCCCTGTAATGCCAGGAATGCCTCCAGGGTAAATCTTTGTCATTCTTAATCAAATCTTTCTATCAGTCAAACCCTATATATTATATATATTGTATATTGTAAACATCATGTTTTCTTATGTATTTAGGATGATCCCAATGGGTGGGATGATGCCTCCGATGATGCCCGGTGTACCACCAGGTAATGCCCTGTTAGCATACACCCTCAGGATCCACTTAGATCTCTCTAACTCAGTTTCATTTATTTCTTTTTAATATTTTTAAATACTACGTAACACTACTGCAGTGAGGTGTTTGCACACATGGAATTAATTTTTTCTGCTGGTATCAGGCATTCCTCCTCCAATGGGTACCCGTCCAGCTATCACTCACATGCCACAGCTCCCACCTGCTGCAGGCGTGCTGCCCAGACCTGCAGTTCCTGCTGGCCCGTCGGTGCAACCTGATGTCACAAAACCTCTTTTCCCGAGTGCTGGGCAGGTAAAACCCTTGACGCCTTTGTATCGCTGCACAGTTTTCACCTCCTCTCAGCATTCTGACAGGACATTACAGTTTTCTTCAGTAAGAGATGTCTAAGCTTGCACGGGCTGATTAAAAAAGGAGACTTTACCCAGGAATTCTTTTAATTGAAAGACTTTTCTGTTTACTTTTCTTTACTTTTTTCCTGTGCTACAGATGGCCGGTCAAGTTGCAAGTACAAGTAAAGCCTCACCAAGCGCAGACACTCAGTCCGCTTCCCCTAAAGCTCTGTTCCCTAGCACTTCACAAGTATGAGGCTGTCTGCCCTCTTTACTCTGACAACCTGCTGCTTTACAGCTGGCATGCACACAACTGTGTATAGTTTGCTTGTGGCGGGCAGGTTGAATCTCTTTCATTTGCAAAGCTGTTTTTTCTTCTTTTTTTCTTAATTAAAATGTTTAGCTATTTTTTTAATTTGCTTTTTAATTTATCTGCATTCACTCAATATTAAAAATAGCTTCATCACCTTAAAATCAAATGTTAAAGTGAAGAATTATGCGGATATGTATAATATATGGGCTTCTGTTGTTGGGCAAAATATGACAGCATGCTCAGCACTTTATTCGTTTTTTCTTTAGTTTTTCTGCAGATCTAAAGAAACTGGTTTTATTTTAGTCAAACTTTGAAAGATTACTTATCATGTTACAATGGTGGAGTAAAATGTTACAGATCCATCTTATAGGCTTGACATTAATATGGTAAAAGCTTGTTTAGTCAGATGAATTAGATATTTGTGTTGCTTCACAAAATTTGTCCTGTAAGGTTTTGTTTTGGTGTTTTAAATTTTAAAATGTAAATTTACAGTTTAGTGAGTATAAAAAAAATCTAGGGTCATAAATTCTCATTTTAAAAAAGAACACATGAAAGAAACACTTTTTGATTGTCATCTATTACGGATACAAGGAAGAGATCAAAGTATTAAACTTTTTGTCTATAGCTGTTCCAGACAAATGCATTTTATTCCTGCTCATGAACGTTATGAATGCCAAGGCTAAAAAGGACCAAATAATCTATATCATTGCAGTAATCTTGGAGTTTGACTAAAATTGACCCCCCTGTGAAATTCAAAGGTCTTTCTGCTGAGTGTCTCTAACCTGCTTTCCTATCTCTTCCCTCAGAGTCAGCAGACAATGTCGGGGTCCCCTCACACTCCCCCCTCCACCACCTCCGACCTCGCAAAGCCCACTTTCCCAGCCTACA